GAATAATGTACTACTTTGAGGGTGTTACTTTTTTCTTATGTCTCAGAATTACTTTAGATACTCATTTAATTCATGCAAGACATGATTCAAATACTCTTAAAGTGTATTACTTATGTTCTCATTTCTTCAGAACGGATACTGACAGAACTTTTAAGCAAAATACAAAAAAAAAAAAAAAAAACCCAACAAACAAACAAAAAAATCATTCATAATCTTCTAGGATAACTGTTAAGATACTGAGTGTATAACTTGCAAAACCGCTTAAGAAATATATGTTTTTAGTATATTTAATATAAAGATTTCTTTGATTTGAAAATGTATTTTAGTGATAATGTGGACCTTTTCTTAAGAAAGTAACTGAGATATATAAACAGAAATAAAAATCAAGGACCCTGATTTAAATCAAAGTTTTTGTTGTAACTTGATAGTTAAGTTGGGATAAAATGGGTGACATCAATTGCTTTGAGATAAATCATTCTGTATGAGTTCTAGGATGCTACCATACTTTTGATATACTATAAGCAATGAACTGTTAGTGTAAGTTCTGGTAAAAGCCTTCAGGTCTGTTTCAGGGTACATTTGGATCTGAGAGTCAGGATGTCTCAGGACGAGAGGCAAGAAAACTTCCCTTAAAACTGTCAGAATACTTTATTCCATCCCAGGATCATTCTTCAGTCAGGGTCCTTTAGGTCCCCAACACAAGATCCTAAAAAGAACAGAGGATAGCTACCTTTCCTCCATCTTGTTGTGTCGTGTTAGTATTGAGAACTTGCTTTTACTAAGAATAGTGCAGAACTTGAGTTGACCTTCTCAAGCTTTATTCATTAGTCAGTTCAGTGCAGTATGTCACTCAGTTTCTTGATGAAAATTGTCACGTATGCACAGTGCATAAATTTGCATTACTGTCGAGTCATTTGTTTTTAACTGGAGGAAATCTACTAGAAAACCACTTTTTTCTGACTGTGACCTATTTGTCTTGTAATCACACACGGCTTAAAATGAGAGCTGAAATATTCATTTGCCATTTAAATTATGCAAAATAATCTACAGGCTTCCATAAAATTTCATGAATCTGAGAGATGTTTTGAGTTACACAAAGGCAGGAGATGAGTGAGGTTTTTTGTACTGTAACAGAAAAGAGTGGAAAAAAGGAAGAAAGAAGGAACTGTTTTAAAAGTAGAATGTTGTAGAACATTGGGAAAGTTTCACAAGTAATCCCTTGCAAAAAAAGTTATATAGGTACTTGAAGAATTTACATTTACTCTATCAGTAAATGTACATGCTTTAGACCTTTCTTTCGTATCACTATGTGTTTATAATACACTCAGGCACTGTTAGATAACACCAGCAGAGATAACAATTGTTAGAAGCATAGAGTTTTTTGAGCACAATACATAAGTCATGTGTTTCCTGAATACAGAATAATAGAAGAAAGAGGGTAAGAAAATGAGTGAAACTGTATGGTGTTTATATCCTCAGGACTTCCATCTGCCGTAGATTGCTTTTTCAAAGCTGAAGTTAAATTTGAATGTTAGAAAAGATAGCTACGCTTTGTTTTCTGGTCAGCTAAACAGATAATCAGAACAAAGCTCCATCTTTTCAGCTCCAGCATGTACATCACTCTTCCCCCAACATGTATGTATACGCTGTGTTTCTGCTGAGAGAAATAAGCCTGATCCCTTCATAAAACAACACTGTTAGGCCAGAGTCGTCTTCTGTCTGCCTCATCATTCAAGAGTACTAGACTCTAAATGCTTCACCACATCTTGAAAAATTTTACACTGAAAAAGGATGAGGTGTTTCTGAGATAAAGTTTTCAGTAAAAATTTCTCCCCAGATCAGGGAGATATCTTCACTGCATTTTCTTCAGATTTTACTATAAAAATTGAACAAAGGAGTGAGTAAACCAGGAAAAACTTCTGTTTCAACTTCTGCAGAAAATGAACATTGGACTGATTCAGTAAAATCTTAAAGTTATCCAAGTATATCTATAGATGTTATAAAGCTATAAGATCTATTGATCTATATTCTATCTTGTTTTGGGTCTGGGTAAATTTTCTAATTCAATAGCGGTATACAGCAGTTTTTCCAAAGCTGTGCTTGTTTGTTTCACTTGCGATGAATCTCCTAACTATACCAAATGCAACAGTGCCAATGTAGTGAGCCCTGCCTGCAGGTACGGAGGCCACAGGTTTTATTAAGTCTATGCTACTTGTAAGGACAATATTTAATTGACAGCTTTTAATTATATCCTGTCTGTCTGCTGTCCTTGACATGGTACAGAAAGACAAGAGGAGTGAAAAGAGGTGGGGTTGCCAGTGATTCATCATCTTGTAGTCTGAGTGAAGAAATATGCACAGCTGCTATCTGCATGTGTCTTTAATTTTAATCTGGAAAGCTTTTCTAGGCTGTAGTTTTAACTGAAGTAGTCTTGAAGAGAACCATCTATTTCTGTAGTTGTTCCAGTGGATGTTTTGGCATGCTCTTATGTTTCTAAGTACTTTCTTCTGACAATGTCCTATGCATGTCACTTTTTTTTCATACAGGCTCCTTTCTTCTTTTTACAGGCAGTGAACTGAGCAAGTAAGAAAAGGAGTATTAATCTTTCTATACAAATTTGTCAGTTCTGAAATTGGAAATGCTCCTCAGTGGAAGAGATTTTATTACTCTCGCTCAGGAACTATGAAAGTGAAAATAACAGCATTACATCAATTTCTATTTGACATCTGTGATAAAGGCTGTATTTTCATCTGGTTTGGAATGTTTGTTCCATGATTTTTCCCTTTGTTCCTTTCATGATCTGGAGAGCTTGTAGATTGAGCAAATCTTCATTGACCTTTGCGGAAAAACATGATTCAGGTTTAGGCTATCGAGTTGGAGATCCTGGAGTAAAGGTAAAACAAGGCAAGACTGCAGTCTACCCTAACACTAGAGGAAAGCTGTAACTTAGAGGTGTATCTCCAACAGGCAGCTTGTTCAGAAATGAAGTGGAACAACAGTCTCCTGGACCTCTCTGGGTTTTCTTGGAGGTTTGTCACGTAGCACGTCCACCCTGTTATAGCCTAACTAAGTCACTTCCCAAGAGGATATAATTAAAAGCATGTGGTAAGTCATAGAAATGATCACTGATGTTGCAAACTAATTTCCATGCTCACTTCTAATTTCTTTCTTTTTTGAACTTTGACAAATTTTATTTCTTGCACTGAATAATTCCATGGTTAGGATTTGTCTTATAACTCTGAGGGGAAACAACGGAGTGAATATCCATGGAGCTCTTTTGAAGGCTTTCCTCTCCTTACCAACCTTGGTAGTCTTGTAGTGCAGTAGAGGAAATGGCTAGATAATTACAAAGATGTAACAAAACACTACATATGAAACGTGATTAAACTATGAACACGAATTAGCTAAATAAAAAAGCATTTCAGTTGTTTTCTAGTTACAGACCTAAAGTTGATTGTGTTAACAAAAGATGGTGCTCTGTATACTGAGGATGGAGAGTGAAAGTGGACGCAGTGGTGGAAACCGAAAAGTCTGCTCTCTCAATGGTGTTGACATGCACTTTACAGAACTGTTTATCCTGAATAAACAGGATAGCAGAAGTCAAGAGTTGCGTGCACTGAGTTCTTCAGTAGATAAATAGATTCAACTGAATAAGGAACAGGTATTGTAACATATGTCACAGAAAAGAAAAGAAAAAATAACGAGATCGGGGCTGGTATATTTAGTTTCCATAAGTGAGTTAATTGATGTTATGTAATGAATTAGCTATGTTGTATCTTTCACCTGTTCCATAAACTGATTATCTGCTCTAATCCTCCCCACGTCCTGTTGAGCTAAAGTGGTGGGGATTGATTTCCAAATTTTTCCCCATAATCATGAGGGCTATATTCTTCCTGTTTCTACTAGGGACTAAGTCTATGATGTAATTACTCTGAGACTTTGCATAAAGTCATATGAGCCTATTGGGTAATCAAAGATGAACTCAGTTTTTGTGTGGACTTTGACTTCTGCAAATAGTGGAAAATACGAGGCATAGTTTAAGGGCAGTTACACATTTAGAATGAAGAGTTTTATCTAGAAGTTTTAGAAAAGATAAACAGCAAAATAATCAAAAATCTTTGTAAAAGGAATCACTCTGTCCTAAGCAGCAACTTCACTGCTATAATTAGCAAGAAGACCATTCCAACAATTCCCCACCACCTGCATATTTAGGCAGATTGGCTTTACGTAGGGATGTGTCTACACTTCAACACAGTGGTAGGAAAGGTGGGGTCAGATAGGGCTATGCCTGTTGTCTGTCTCAGATACCTGCTCCAGCTTGTTCACAACTGAGTGCCCACAGCTGGAGCACTATTTTTTTATTTTTTTTTTTCTGGTAACATCCAGTGTGCAGAGAAGGCTGGTATATTTGGGCCACCTAACAGTCCAGCTCCCAGATGAGGCTGACAGAGTTGGCAGGGCATGGCCAGGTGAGTGTGTGTGCAGGCATCCAACCTTCTCTGTAGTGAGCTGTATGCAAACCTTGGGGATACTGAGTTCCATCTGGAACCTTGTGGATTGTTAGGAGGCCACCCGATCATGCTGCTTACTAGAGATGCAACTGACACTGAATCATCCAGAAAGTGTTTTGAGAAACTCTGAAGAATGCTAGACAGTCTGAACATTTGCAATTATCCTCCTATACTAAATACGCTTGGGGGTCAGGAGTTACAGCCTCACATGTTGCAGGAGGTCATCTAGAATTTAATTGTGGAGAGAAAAAAAGAAAAAAAAAAAATCTGTAAAAATCCAGACCCGAGGCTGGAAAAAAGTAGAAAACAGTGTGAAAAGAAAAGAAGATAACAGAAAATAAGAGTGCTAGCGATCTTATCTAAAATACTGGAAATATTTCCAAGCTTTAAATTTGCTGCATTAACAGTTTTTCTTGTTAAGCTATATGAGTAACACTAAGCGCTTTGCAGGCACTTCATAAAATGTCAGATTGCTTAAATGATACTTACCTGACCCTCCAGCCTTCTCCATGCTCCAGCAGAGTTTTGTGTTGGCTGTGCCATCCCCAGCATCTTGCTTAACTCATCATCACTCAGAACAGAAGAATAGAATCTGGATCAGGCAAGTACATTGTAGTACCTAGAAATGGAAAAATATATATATTTAATACTCCAATAAAGCTTGAAGTGGCTCTCAGATGATCTGTCAAGAGCATTCGAACCAATCAGCTGAAATTTTAGAAGGGACTTTCACAGAAACACCAGATATGTCTTTTCAAAAGAATTACTTTTATCAAAAGACCAGACACCCATCTTAGACTGTATCTCTGAACCCTGCAATATAAGATAGTAGAGTCACTCTGGAACAGATGTATTGTCATCAAATAATTTTTTTATGACTTCTGATGAAAATTAGAACAGAAGTTGTAACTAAATTAGCTAATAGGAAAGTCATTAACATCGCATAATTCTGTGGTTTGTAAAGGGCTAGAAGAGTTCCCCTAATTACATCAACAGGGCATGACACTTGTTTTTAATAGTTGCTTTTTATGTGTCAGTTCAGCTATGCAATTTTACTTTCATTCTCCTCTATTTTGCAAGGTAAATTAGAAAAGAATAAATGAGACAAACCACATAGAAACAAGGTCAGGTCAGCAGCAATCCAGTGTGCCACTTCTTTTAAGCAGTGTTTTCATAGTAGGTATTATGGCAGCTAACTAGCTCATTCTCCTTTATATTATCTCTTCATAGATGAAATGATAAAAACTTACTAGCACATTTTCCTTCTCCTTTGTAACTTTTTTTCTACATTCACTTTGAAGACTTGCAGGTGCTGGGGTTGGAGAAACAAGAAATTTCTTTTGTTAAAACAGTGAATTTTGTATTAACAGCAAGACTTTGAAGACATACAGCAGAAAAATATGAAGACACTTTGGTAGTACCATTTATCTGAGTATTAATATTTGTATTTTTGATAAAAGCAGTGCAACGTAATATGCAAGAAAATGAATCTCCAAAGCTACTAATTTATTTACTGTTTTTCATATTGTACAGATGGCCTGTGAAGTTACAATGTCTGGTTTTAATTTGTCTCAAAAATGGACTTGGTTTCTTAGATTTAAGCCTGAGATGAGGGAAAAAATCACAGTGAGGGCAGTTATACAACAGAGGAGGCTTCTTAGAGAAGTTCTGGAAGCTCCATCCGTAGAAACGTTGAAAAATTAGCCAAACCTGGGGCAACCTACACTAGTGTTGTCCCTGCTTTAGTTGAGAAGCTGGGAGAGCTGATCTTTAGATACCTCTTCCAATATAAATTCTTCAATGAAATTAGGTGTTGGATTAAAAAATAATATGGTAGAGGAGGGGAGCAAAAATATGAAAACATGCACAGATGTGTGATTGGATAAACATTATTTTCTTAGGAAATTAAATTAAACTCTGATAATTTCAAATGTATAGACTGGGGAAACAGTCCTATTTCTATTTATGTAAAGGTGCTATTGCCTACAGTTTTGTTAGGGCCTTCTGTAGCTATGTTTCAAACAATAAAACTATTTTGGTCACTTTCAGCTCAAGATGAAATTTTTGGATCTGAAATTTCCTATACTAAAAGTCTTATCAAACATAATTCAGTCATTTCCAAAAACAAATGAGCAAATAAAAGAACTAGAGAAAATGTTTGTAACTATTTAATTAAAACTCTGCTTTTTAGTAATGTGTTCAATTTGACAACCTAGAAAATCTGCACAAAGTTCACAAAGTCACAAGTGGTTAGTTCACGTAATTACAGAAGAGATTTCCTGGCAATGATTATTCAGTCTCCAGCAGTCTCTTCACAATGAACATACCCCATCTCAGATCTTCAGAGGCAAGCAGAACTTAAGGTATCAAAAAAGGCTTCCTGCAGGAATGATGAAGTGAAGGGCAGGGAACAGAAATCAGTGATGCTGTTTGCAATGCAAGAGAGGAATCTGAGTAACGTGGCTGAATGAAAGGCATACAGAAGAGAGGGTGGAGGTGAAAGGAAGGAGGACAGCTTTGTTGTTACAGAAGTGGGAGGATTTTATGATCACTGAAGTATATTCTTCTCCAAAATAGAAACTGAATCCTACTCTCCTTACTGTGAATTCATAACTTCAAAAAGTTACCAAATCTTTAATGATAGTATGGTGTAATAATTTCCTTTTTCTCACACAGGATTTCTGACCAGAATGGATTATGTTTGCTGAATAGGCCAATCTTGTGAAAGAGACTGTATCAATCTCTTCATCTGAAAAAAGATGTATACAAAAGGAAGCAAAAGATAACAGAAAGAAAAATGTAAGTTTAATGACAAGAGCAGTTGAGTTTAGCAGCTGTGAGGAACAATCTCAACCTTGACTTCATCTTATCATCTCCATGCGTTTTGGGCAAGTGACTTAACCCAGATTTTTCACAAGCATCAATCATTTGGATGGTTGGACTAGATGATATTAGAGGTCTTTTCCAACCTTGATGATTCTATGATTTCCCTCCTACATGAAATTTTGGTTTTAAGTTGCTTTGCGTGTCTGCCTTTAGGATGACGTGCCTCATGCTCCCCAAGCATATGTTTCTAGTCCCTACAGTCAGCTAGCTCAGATGGAGGTTTCTCCAGTGCAGGTGGTTACAGTTTGAAGAAATAAGTGCCCTCTACAGATCTTAATTCAAAAAATAATTGAGTTATCACAGTAGTAACACACTGGGAGCTATATATGGACATAGACAATCCTCGGGAATGCTTAACAATCTCTTAAAAAAATTCATCTCCGAGTATCACATACCAGACCCCATATCATTAGATTCTTCAGATCTTTTTTCATTTATAAAATAAAATTCCCATTTCATTATCCTTCAGGGCTTTTGAGAAAATGAACTAATTTGTGTTCAAGAAGCAATTTGATACTGTACTGCTGAGTGCTATAAACGGAGGGCAAAAAAAAGAGATAAAATTAATTATTCTACATTTATAACACATTGCAAGGAATGTGCAGCAAATCAGATATAGGGATGTGCAAAAGAAGAGTACCTAATTTTTCTATTGTATATATATATATATATATATACATATATATATATGTATATATATATATATATAAGTCAGAGTACAATCTCATTTCTTGTGCCCATATAACTAATTACTATATTATAAAATACAGAGGATACTTAGGCTGTAGACTTCTTTACAATTAAATAAAAATGATGTAAAATTAAATAAAATTAATAGAAGAAAGCTGTAAGCAGTCAGGCAACATGTAAAGACCAATCCATTTGACTTTTGCCATCACCATTGTCTGGTGTTGGCAATCACAACATCAAGTCAACTTCCAGAATCCCCAACCTGTTTTGAAAAGAGGGACCAGTGCAACCCTCAGTGGACCCTCAGTGCCACCTTCTTTCTCATCCCCTCTGCTGTGTATTGGTAATTTGTGCTGCACATAGCAGTCCTAAGTACAGCTAATTATTTTAATTGTTGTATCAGAATTTAATCTGCTCCAGAAATGTGAAACACTATTTGAACCAATGACTCTTCCAAGAATCAGTATAAGTTAAAACTCTACCTAGCAACTACAGCTTTACCAAACTACACTAAGCAAGGAAACAAACCATACTTCCTGTTTTCCACTGCAGGCTACAGTAGATATGCCTGCAGGAGATTATTGTTACTCCCATTCCCACATCCTTAAAAGCATGTTACATGCACCCAGTTTAAACAGGTATGCAGGTGCCTTTTGTTTTAAAATGCTTTCAGACAATCTAATATAACATTCAAGCTGGGAATACATCATTCATAGAATCACTTAACCATGAGTTAGAGAAGACCTTCAAGATCAAGTCCGATCATCAGCTTAACCTATTGAGTCCCATCACTAAACCTTGTCTAGGTTGGGAGACTCCACCATTCACTGGGAAGCCCATTTCAGTGCTTGTGTACCTTCTCTGTAAAGAAATTCTTAACTTCCGATCTAAATCTCTAAACAAGCAGAACTTGAGACCATTTGCTTATGTGCTCTCACTCATCACCTGAAAAAAAGAGACCGGCACCCTCCTTGATGCAGCTCTCCTTGTGGAGACCAATGAGATCTCCTCTCAGTTTCTTCTCTAGACCAAACAACCTCAGTATCCTCAGCCATTCCATGTGAGTTTTGCTTTCTAGTCCCTTCACCAGCTTTGTTGCTCTTCTTTGCACACTCTCAAGGAATTCAATGTCCTTCTTGCAGTGAGGGGACCAAAACTGAATGCAGTGTAAGGTTTCACTTGTTGCATGTACAAGGGAAAAATCATTTTCCCAATCCTGTTAGCCACTGTATTTCTGATGCAGGTCAGGTGTCATTGGCTTTCTTGGCCACCTGGGCACGCTGCTTGCTCACATGTCAAACATTTAACTAAAAAGCAGATAGAAAACATCCATAGCTTTTGCCTTATCTACTAAGCAAGTCATCTTGTCATAGGAGATAAGTTCAATCAGGCATAACCTGGCTTTCAAAGACTGGCTACTTCTGATAACATGGCTGTCCTGCGTGTGCCATGTGAGGGATGCAGATACCTATTTCTCTTGCAAGGAATTTGATGGCAGTAACCAGCTGCAGCTTTCAGATGTCAGGAGCGTAGATTTCCATGTTCCTGCAATACCTTCCCCTATACCTGTTCTTATTTCTCCTTCTAGGAAGACGGCGACACTTTGTCACTTGCTAGAGGCAGACACTACTGGTGAAGGTGCTGTAATTCTTAACTAGCCAATGTGGCATCAAGAAAGGCAGCTGAGTTTGTGCCCAATTTTCCATCATGTTGAGTACAAAATTGATAATATGCTAATAGTAGTTAACAGCATATTAACAGCTATGTGACATTTAGGATATGTTGAGTGAAATTTTGTCAGCGTCGTTATTCCTGTACACAGAATGAATCTTCTACAGGATCATTTGTTAGCAAGACCATTATATCAAAAATAGCATTGTCATATTTTGTATCAGCACGTATGGTTTTTGTGGGAGACAAGAATCTAACCTTACCAATAAGTTCAAGTCCTTGCCTCGGCATAGACAACAAACTTCTCCACACCATCCTGAGCTGTTTTTTTCAACTGTAGGGAAGAAAATGACTGAGCACTTCCTGCTCACACGCTCACAGCCTTCTGGCAGGTGATTATAGCCAGAGAAGGGTGCAGTAATTGACACTGTTGGCTAGCTATTCACCATATGGCAATCTTTCTACTCAAAAACAATTTGCATCCAGTAAATTTGTTTCATTTGAATTTTTATTCACAAAAAGGCCCTTTTTTTTAATTTAAAAAGGCACTCTAAAGATGCAACAAATTCTAGTCGTGGCTGTATTGGTCTAGCAACTTTGATATCAGATTTTTGTCTCTCATAGAGTCTAAACTTATAGTCTAAAGGTATTTTCATAAAGCAGGCTTTCTAAAACAGTTCCCCAGGGGGACAGGAGGGATAATCAGAGGTGTTTTTTTAAAGAGTTTCTGAGCATTAGTGGCAGAGTTAATTGTTGAACTATTAAACTATAGGTTGCAATTCATAGCAGCTATAGTCACAACAATTTCTGAATGATCACCCTTTGCTACCATTAAAGACCTGTATCATCTGTTATAGCATGAAATACTGTAAGATGGTTTGTTACCTGCTGATAATAATCTACCAACAAGGACAACAGTTTAATTATATACTAAACCTCCTGCTGGCAAACAAATGGCTTCCAAACATTTCTGCTCTTCCCTTGTTTCTTCATACACACACACACACACACACACACACACACACACACACAAAAAAAAAAAAAAAAAAAAAAGAAGAAGAAAGGAAAAAAAAAAAAAAGAAGAGTAATTTTCTTGAAGAACTAGCCTTATCTACCCACAAATCCTCAAGGAGCTAAAGAATGTGAAGAAGTCCCAATCTGGACTTCTCAGAGAGAATTGCAAAATATTGTCTTAAAGGTGATCCTGGCCATGTGAGATCTCTGCTTACACTGAGATAGTACAGACAGCTTAGATGAAAATGATATCTTTTTGCAATGTTTCTTCCTTCAGATTCATTCTGAGCATGGGATCATAGTACCAGCTTTTGTAACAGCGCTGGATGAAGAAGAGGAGAAGGTCCTTTACTGCTCAGGAACCTTTGAAATCAACAACTTAGTTGTTGAATCAACAACTAAGGTTTATTGTTCAGCAAGTAAACAGTGAAAAAGTAAGTTTGTTCTGGGGTCAGTTACATAGAATTGGAGGCCCCTTTTTCTATGAAAGGATAATCTGTGCATTTAGGTACTGGAGACTTGCTATATAGTTTCATCTCTTTGAACTCCTGCTTAAAAGGGACCTTTGAGCAAAATTTCCCATGATCTGTTAGCAGTCCTTTGCACTTAAGTTTGGTCCTTGCAGAGAGAAGCGTGTCAACTTGTTTGAAAATATGCCAGCATTTATTCCTAGAGTCATCTGCTGTCCTAGCAAAATCTGTAGAATGGAAACTGGAAATCTGGGCTGTGTGAAAATAAAAAATAAAAATCTGGGAACTACTTATAGCAAAATAAGTTATATTTAAAGAAGTGTTTCATATACATTTCTCAGACTGATAAATAGCAGATAACAACAGATGGTAGGGACTTGTCCTCTCCATTTCTGAGCAATTTTCAAACTTCAGAAACTCAAGGAAAGGCACTTCTGCAATTTAAATGCAGGCTAGTGACTGACAAACACAAAAGGCATCTTGCCATCCCAACTAGTGACATTTTTGCCTGCTACCTCAGCTGTGTACAACCCTGTGTACTACAACTTCACATTGAGAGCCAAGAAGTATTTATAGACTTGTAATAACAGCTTGGATTTCCATTTTCAAGCAGTGTGTTTTACCGTGTCATGATGGCCTATGCTGAAAAGATCATCACTAGTAATGATTCATCTATGACAGTGATATTGAACAGTTTTTGTTAATGCGTGTTATCTTTACAGGTAATAACGTCATAAAATTGTAATAGAAAAAATAACCTGATTTGCCTCAACAAGAGTAGGAGACTCAGAATTCAGCAGCTCCAAAAAATAATTCCAATTTGTCCTAAAAAATCTCATAGATAAAATATTGTTTTTATTAAGACAGCGACCAAAAAACAGTTACCATGTACTAAAATGCACTATTAGGGGATTCTGGGGCAAACTAAGACATGTAACTGCTTAGAGCTAAAATGTTAGAGTAAAAACAATTGCTCTGCACCCTTTTTACATTTATCTGTGAAGTCTACAAATTTTGCCCTCTGAAAAGAAAGTAAATGATACACTTGAAAAGCAGAAATATTTTAGCATGTACACACAGTGAATGGATATGATTGAGTTGTTTTTGTTATGCCTAAAACACTACGCATTGACTCTAGAGAACTGGCAGCATATTTTTAGAATTCTTAGTGCATTATATTGATGTAATTTAAATAATCTTTAAAAATACTATCTTTCATTATGGGTTTAAAGGTGTACAGAAAAACATGATTGCAAGGGTATTTACTGTCCTTGGGTTTAGCTTTTTTATCTGATGGTGTAGTGATGAATGAGAGGATACAGCAACAAGGATACAAGTATCACGTAGAAAAATCATACGGATAAAAAATGTATTTATGTGCAGACTAACAATTTTATTCTATCAGTTGAGGTTGGGCTGCTGTCCTTTATTGATTCCTGAAAGCTCTGTCCTGTTTCCTGAAAGTGATAGCCCGTGTTAGCCTCTCCCTGCAGAAATGATCTATTTTACACCGTTTTTGACCTAATACAGAGAACAGTTCCCACATATTTCTGCTCCTTCCTGTGCTGGCTGCATAAAGCTGAGCTCTCTGAGCACAGAGAAGAGTATTTGTGAGAACTGTCAGCACCTGACAGTAGAAAGTTTGTATTAAATGTATTATTGGCCACAGCCTGGAAGATGTTCATCAGAGGCATGTAAAACCAAGCTGAAGTGAGATGGGACCTTTAATTCTTCAGAAAAAATCTAGTATATTATTCATATTACCCAATAACTCCACATCAGCCTGTATCTCTGTTCTCTGCAATCCTTTTCTATTTTCAGTCAAAGTCTGGGACCCTTAGAATGAAATTGCCAATAATATTTTTTTCCCCAGGGAATTCTAACAATGTTAAATTAAAGGCAGTAGGATAGATAATGTTGGTGATCTTTATTGTTTGAATCTGCAAATCTAAGGTAGTTATGACAGGCTAAAAAGTTGCTTATATTCTTGGAGTTCAGAACAGTCCAATAGGCTCCAAAGGAAGCCTACTTTCATTTGTTTATACTACATCGATCTATGTTTATATATATCATTCCAAGAGAAAATAACTGAGTGCTATCTTTCCATTTGTCTATCACATTTCAAATAAATTAGTATCTGTATGTGGAAATGAACACATTTATAATGGACAAAGGAACTTCTGTGCTATTGTCTATCTGGAAAGTACAGCAAAACATAATGAAATAATGATAATCAGGAATTTCTCCTGCAATATCGCACTGTTTTAAAGGAAAGCAGCACATATATATACCTGCTGTATATAGAAAAAATCATAAACGCTGCGTACATGCTCAGTTAGGAGAACTTCTGGCTTTTACAGATGTAATTTTGCAGGTCCTAAAAATACAGTCTTTCACAAGTTCCTCCCCTACATGTCCTTTTTCCTCCTTTCTTTGGATTTCATTATGCAGAAAGCGTTATTTGCGACAGCAAATTCATGAATGCAATTGTTTACTTGGCTTACTAACCAGATAATATTTTCCTAGTACACTGCTATCAGCTACTCTATCTCTGTAACACCATTTTCAGTAGGATTCCACTTGACTGCAGTTTTCAGTTCCATACATACATTTAATGTTCTTTCAAGTGCATACATCAAGTTGGTAAATAATTTTTCTCCCAATCTTCTACCTCTATCCTTATTATGTTCACCAGTCTCACAGAAGTGTCTTTTTTTTTTCTCCTTATCTTTGCTCTGTGGGTTTGTTAATAAACAGTGACAAATTTTCGCGGACTAGCACCAAATTTCCATACTTTCTAATGCCTCTCCTACAGGAGAAATGTGAAGAGGCACCAGGTAGGTGGTTATATATACTTGAAGTATGTCTCTTTCATTTATAACAGTCTTAAAAGGCAACTAAAAAAAAAAACAAAAAAAAAAAAACAAAAAACAACAAAAAAAAAACCATTAAAAATGTTAAAGCTTAGCAGTATGAATTCCCTCATTCTTTTAATGTAAGAAAGACATTTTGAAGAAAGCAAGAGTATGTTAAAGTTTGTAAAATACTTACAAGCCTCGGAAATCTATGTAGCAAGTTGATACGGAAACTAGGATTAAGTCTGCACTGGTGACAGCACTCAGTGCTCCACCCCCTCCTCTATTCCGTTTTACTTTCAGTTACATAATAATTTAGGACTGTGTTTATACATAATACAATGTGGAAATTACTCTCACCACAGGGAGCAGATTTCACAACTTGGTTTGTGAGCAATGCTCAAACCTGGGGGAAAAAAAAGAAAAACAACAGGGGGAGGCAAGTATGTCTCCAACTTAGAAGGCAGGCAAGTATGAACAGCAGCTGCTCACTGTCGCAAGTAGCAACAGTTAGGCGTGCTACCTCTCATTCCATGAAGGGTGGGCAGCACATAGTTTGTGCCCTTGTACAGTCTTCTGCCTCTTTGTAGCTTAAGTGTATTCTCAGACAGAGCTCCAAAGACTTTCTTAATTTGAAACCTGTAGCTTTTTGCTGTGATTCCTCCTTTTCTTGAAGCAGACACTGCAGGAGAAAGAGAAATTGCTTTTTGAGGCAACACCAAGAAAAAAGAGCATGGCTATGGAAGAGGGCTGGCAGGACAGAAAAGAGCTGAAAGGGAACAGCATCTAGCATGCTGTGGGATCACAGGGCAGAGAGGTATATTTGGCACAAGTGACGTCAGAAGAGTAGCCTTCTAAAGTTGCTGGAAAAGTATTCTATGAATTGCACTGAGCTAGAAAATTGTGGATTTTTGTCATTAGGATAAGTGTGGGATTAGCACTCATGATAACCAAAGCCACAGTAGCTGTAATCCTGCATCCTGCATAGACACCTCATGTTGAAAAGCCTTTCTTACAGTGAGTTAAACATGCATTATGGTCTTGATAAAACCTGGTAGCCATGGGAGTTCTCTAAGGTTTCCAGGCATCATCACTTAAATGCATAGAGTTCACATACTCCGTAGGCAAGAGTGAAAGTAGTACTTTCTATCCATGCAGTCCTCTTCTGCTTCACTCTGGGTTCTGGTTATTATTCTGTGTATGCCACACTCTGTGAGATGATAATAATACTCTACAGTTAAATGAGAAGGCTTTAGCAATGGACCTAGTAATTCTCCTAATTGAGCAAGAAATGAGCTTCTAGGGTTAGGTGTTTACATTCTGTTTCTCAGTGAAATAGCTTTTTTTTCTTTTTTTTTTTTTCAGGAACGCTATTTATAAAGCCATTTATTTATAAAAATACCAATTAGTTTCTTGTGTTAGAATATTTTATTGCAGTCAAATTCAGAAAATATATTAAAGGATCTAAATGAGACTTCTATACCTTCAGCAGCCGTCATAAAATAAAGAAGCAGGGACTAGAACTGTTCCTCGTGGTTCTAGATGGCTGCATGGCAAAATCATTACATGAAACAGCTTGTTGTCACTACTCAGTGCAAGTGCACATTATATCCTGTGGTCCAACACTTGGGCCCAGCATTCCTTCTGCGGGGAAGGCACAAAAAGAAATGCAGCCACACTGCTTAACTCCTGTACAGGAACTGATTTGGAGTCATTAGCCCTGAAAAAAAAAAAAAAACAAAAAAAAACAAAAAAAAAACCAACAACTTACCCAAGCCACAAAAGCAGAACTCACAAATTCGTGCTTTCTAGGGACACTGACTTGACAATGTATCTGTGTGATCACTGTACCATGATCCTTGTAGACTGTCTTACTAGGGAGGGTTAAATGGAAGAGTAATACCATTTTATACATTGATGTGCAGGCATGGGAGGTGAACTTTGCCCCCCACTGGCAGCTGCTGGAAAACTAGGCAACATTAGAAAGAGAAAATAAAAGTAAAAACATAACTAGAATTCTTGCTATGGCAAAGTGCAGTGATGTAAACAAAAAGAAGCCAGCATTGCAGGAAAAAGCAGCAGCCTAGATGAATATTTAAACCAAAGGAACATACCTATTAATTCATCAGGTGTGGAGTTTTCAGTACAAAAGAGATGTGAACCCATTGGAGGTGTCCAGAAGAGGGCCACAGAAATGATCCAAGGACCACCTTTCCTACAAGAGACAGACAGAAAGAGTTGGGGCTTTTCAGCCTGGAGAAAGCACAAAAATGTGCTTCCTAAATACACAAGGAATGTTTTATAGTCATCTAAATGCTAATATCTGTATCTAGGTGTTCACTTTAATGTATGTAATTCTTATACTCTCTCAGGAGCAAAATATCTACTTCTAACTTATGGAAGTTTCATTTATTATGCAAGTTTCTTTCATTTATAGTGGACACAGCCTATTTGACAAGATATTGGTCAATACTCTTACCAAAGAGCTACTAAATTGTAATTGACTGTTAGAAGTGCAGTGACAAAGACTGTGAATAACTTACATCAGGTAAACTGTAAAGTCTAAACAGTCGTATGAATATCATTTTGAAAATAAAATGGAATAACTGAAAATTCAACTGTGACCTTCGTGATTTGAAGCAGTATCACCCAAACTTTTGGTGTGGTTTCACAACAGGTGAAAAAAACTGCAGGTTTTGTTTAGTTCTACTCGTAAGTGTTTGCCTGTAATTTCATGAAATGAATTTGTTTTAAATTGGTGCTAGTTAGAGGAGAAAAAATGGAGCCCAAAGTATTGCTACAGGAGCAAAAGGGAGGATGTAGGAAGAAAGGAAGACTTTTCTGAGCAGTGAGGTCTGCATGTCTTGAAAAAAAAAGGCAGCTTTTGTGGAAGAACTTCCAGGAAGGTTCCCAGCTGACTCATCTCATTCCCAGCTTTCAATGGTAAATTTCCAAATGCTTAAAGATGAGACTGCACCATTCTTTTCTCACATACTGTCTCAGTATTGACTCTTTTCAAAAACCAGTCTAGAAGTTGAACCCTTCTGACAAGAAATATGAACTGATGTTATACTTCGATAATTACAATGATTTGCATAAACTGAATTCCAAAATTTTTAGAGTCCTTATAACCAGATGTTCATGTCGGTGCAGAGGAAAGCATCTGCAGTTTGAATAGTCTCCCCTCCTGTTGTGCTTGATTTTACTCTGCAGAGCTGAACTTCTACACTCTCAGTTATCAGTCTTATGAATTACTGCATAGGAGATTGAAAGTACTATTGTTTTCTTCCCCTAGGTAAAAGAGTGGATATATATAGCTAATAAACATGGACAACTTTATCTCCTCCCAGTTCCAGTGTGGCAGCCAGAGGATGTAACTCAGGAGGAAAAAAGCATTCAGCTTCTGGGGAGACACATCCTAGTCAGCTCACTGGCACTCATCATCATACTATACTAAGAGTTGGGGCATTTGAGCTACGGTGAGTTTTGTTTCACAAAGTGCCTTACCTCTGAAAAAGAGAGGACAGAGCAGTCCCTTCCAACCAAACCATTATATTATTCTATGATTCATTCTAAGTATGTGTGATGAGTGTGCATTTCTGTAAATTATAATCTATCCTGCATCAGTTCCATACCAGCACATAAACCAATATGCAAGTCTGAAATAACTATGTGGGAAAGTAATTGCTGTAACAGAACACGTAATATACTGAACAAATACTATGTATGTGTGTCTTCTTCAAAACCTGGGTATTTCTGCTTCATGGTTAGTAAAGCACTTCAGATAGTCTGTCTCTTTTCATACTATATTATAATATGTCCTAAATTATAGGCTCTTCATATTACTTATTAAAAACTTCTTTCATCTCACAAATGCTATTTAATTTCTAGACACATGTGGAGAGACATTAATATTCTGTCTTTCAGAAGTGTGCATAGTATTTCTGGCAAGTTATAATTTATGAGCTATTTCCACTAACTACAAGCTATTCCTATTTAAAGAGATAGTGTTTCCAAGCAAAACCATATAAATTGCTAAGTTTGCAAAACCAAAACAAAAGGAAAGGCATATAAGGCTTTAAATTAATGGAAATATGTTTCTGAATCTGTAAAAATCTATGTAAAAAGCTATCATAGAAATATGCAGAGTAATCTTCAGTTCCTACTTGGATTCATGTGAGGAATCTTTGATTTCAAGTGTTACGTTTAACGCCCTGCAAACAAGCACTATTCTATTTCGACAGCATATGTGCAATATTGCAGCCTAAAAGTTTTCCAGGATTGAGTTGTCATAAATTTAATTATAAGTACAAAAAATCCTACAGAATAATGTGTATAAATGTGGTTTGGCTAGCATCCCAAAAGGCACATCACCGTAACAGTTCTCTGTCATTACACTTGTGTTATTTCTCCTTTATCAGCTTTGAATAGACCACAAAAATCTCCCAGCCCACACTGCCTCTGTGGTCATAGAATCAATCATAGAATCATTAAGGTTGGAAAAAATACTAAGATAATCAAGTCTAACAATCAACCCGTCACCACCATGCCCACTAAACCGCATCCTTATGTGCCACATCTACACGTTACATGAACGGTTCCAGGGACGGTGACCTCCACCACTTCACTGGCTCACATCTTCTGAGAAAATAGAGGCAAACTCCCACCTTGTCACAACCTCCTTTCAGGCAGCTGTAGAGAGTGATATGGTTTCCCCTGAGCCTCCTCTTCTCCAGACTGAACAATCCCAGCTCCCTCAGCTGCTCCCCATAAGATTTGTGCTCCAGAGCTTTCACCACTCAGTTGTCCTTCTTCTACAGCTGAGTGTAGGGGGTGGTAACTTCCCAAGTCCTGCTGGTCACTGATGTAGATATCTGCATGCCAAAGCCACAAAACTGTCAGGGAATCTACTCCTTATTTAATCTCCAAGTTAGGTAGCACAGGAAAAATTCTCTACTTAAATGCAGTTTTGAAATGACATGTTGTGCCACCTGACTTTAGATGATTGGGAACCTTCCGATCTAAGTAGCTGGAATTCCATGCAGCGCCCTGGGAAATGTTCTGAATGAGGCACTTCCTAAATGAGCCCATTAACAGTGCTTGTACAAGCCTTTTTTGGATTTAAATATTTTTGACTACACTGGATATGCCTCCAGGCAGAATCCTTATCTCAGTGTCCCCTTGAATGTATGCCATTCTTAAGTTTAAAGCACAACACTCAAGACAGGTGTCAGTCAAAGACTGAGACTTTTTACTAGACAAGCCTTTTATAAATGTTTCTCATCAGAAATTCCGAAACAATGAATTGGAGAATCAAATGTTACATGAAAAAGAAGCTGAAACACTTAGATGATGTGTGGATGATGTGGGGGAATTCTTTTCCTCAGAGCAGTTCAGCTAAACAGTTTGCTTGGATGTATCAATCTTAATCCTGGTTGGTTTTTTGGGGGACTTTTTTATAACTAATTCTCCTCATATCAGCCATTTTTTCTGTATGTTATTTCTTATGTTTTCCCACAGCATCTGTTTCAGAAGAAACAGATTCATCTGAATGGCATGCCATTGTTTTCATTGGCACTGCAAGGGATAAAGAAATGTTCAGTATGCATAAGAATAGAAAATCCCCATTTTTTAACCTCCTCTTCTCACTCT